ACTAAATCCAAGAATACTCTATCCAGTAAAGCTATCATTCAAAATTGAAGGAGAAATCAGGAGCTTCACAGAAAAAAAAAGCCTAAGGGAGTTTATCACCACCAAGTCAGCAGTGCAAAAAATACTAAAGAGACTGTTGTAAATAGAAGAACTGCTGGACACCAATGCGCCAGGCCCCGCCCGCGCCTGCCTTGCACCCCAACCCTGGCTGGAGAAGGGGCGTCCAGCCCAGCGCAGGTCTCCCCAAGGCTCACCTGCTGCTTTTCCGGGGCAGGGGCAAATCCTTCTGGAAGGCAAAAGAGCAAAAAGATAGAGGTCGGCATGGGCCAGCAGCCACAGCCGGCGTCTTCTCAGCCCCCTGGACTGGAGGAGCAGAAGTTGGGTGGCACAGGCCCCTCACCAGCATCATCGCTGGTACCCTTGGCCATGCGCTGAGGACTGCAGGGGCGGGGGGGGGGGGTGTTTATCAGGTTGATTCTTCCCCTGACCATCAGAGACCAGCACAGAGCCCCATAGAGGATTCCTGAGTTGGCATCTCAATGTATGTATGTGCAAATGAAATAGGAGTCTTTATTTAAAAAATATTTCTTGAGCACCTGCTGTATGTATGCCAGGCACTGTGCTAGGTACCGGGGACACAGCACTGAACGAAACAAAAATTCTTGCCCTTTTGGGACCAGCATTTAGAAGAGGAAAGCAGACAAAAAAATATCAATATAGAAGTGAATTGCATCGTTTTAGACAGTAATGAGTGTCATGAATTAAAAAAATATTAAGCGAGGAGATATGATGAGAAATGGCTAGGAAGGGTCACGAAGGTCAGAGAGAGCTACTCTGGGGAGGTGACTTTTAAGATGGGAGCACCTGTGGAGAAAGCATTGAAGGTGAGGAAACTGCAAAGGCATGGAGGCAGGAATGAACTTGGCATGCTCAGGTATGAAAGGTTGAATGAATGAATGAATGAATGAATCCTCCACATTCCAAGGGTTTACCCCACTCCCAGGCAGATCCACAGGGTTGGGGATGGGTATAGTTAGAGTGGCTCAAAACCGAGATTTGAATTGGGGATTGGATGATGGCTAGGTGGTCTTTTTTTGACAACGGCAGTGATAATAATTAGTAGACATTAATTTTATGTGTACACATCAGAGAATGGTCATATTCTGTTTGCTAAGCACACAGGAAGTTACTATAGGGACCAGAAATTGCATAGGTCTGAACTCTTCTGAGAGCAATGGGGAGAGGGGTGCCACCTTCCAGCCACTCCTGAGTCCACAGGCTGATGTGAATAAAGGGGATTGGGTAGAGCTGCAAAATTTGGGTGACGGTTTCAAAAATTCATTTTTGGGGGATTCCAACCAGGAGGAAATTCATCATCTTTGGGATTCCTGAAAGCAGAAAGCCCTGGGTCCAAATCCCAGCTTTGCTTCTTGGCAAATGACCTTCTAATAGTTGTGCCTCAAAGAGAATTCTGTGAGATGGTGCAGGTGCCTAACACCTCAGCATGATACCTAGCACATAGTTAATGCTCAATATTAGGTCACAGGAACTATTGTGGATGGACACCCTGCGTGACAGGAGATGGGCCAGAGGGACTTCCCACTCCCATGTACAGAGGACACAGGTATGGTTGGGGCCAAAGGGCACAATGTCTACAGCAGCAGTCCTGCCCCACAGAGCCACTGGGTGACTTGAAATCCATACCGGGTTTTCCCCCTTTCTTCGCAGGATCAGCTTGAATGAGCTGCATGTTGGACCAGCCAGGCCGGCTGCAAGACTGCAATGGCCCAAGTGAAATCAAGACCTGGATTTTCTGGCCACGGAGCCCCGGCCGCCAGACCTGGGGACACTTGGCTTTTGAAGGTGAGCTCCTGAGGAACCTTTAAGCCCCTCCCGGAGAAGTCCTCAAACCTAGCTCCATCCGCTCGCGGTCCTAAACATTCTGAGGTCGAACAAAGGGGCAAACTGGAGCCGGAGAGGATTTGGATCCTTGGCGTCAGTGTAACAGACGTCACATCCATCCCCAGCTGCAGAATGGCTCTGCCAAGCAGATGCTGCTTCTCCCTGGGGTTAATGGACGGCGCTGCGAACAGGGCATGGGAACCCGGATGCTGTCCAAACGATCCCAGTTGCTCACAGGGAACCCTCGGGCGCTCACAGGTTGTGGGACAGTTCTTAAGGGGTTGCACCAGCGTGAGGGTGTATCCAGGCAACGAACTGGTTAACCCGACCCTGCCAGAGGGAAGAGGTAGGAGCAAGACTCGCGCCCGTGGCAAAAACTAGTGGCTGCCTCCGGGTGGACTGGAGGGCGAGTGGGAGGATCCTGGGCTGGAGGTGTGGTCTTGCGGGAGACAGAAATCCCGCGTGGCGCTGAGCCAATGGGAATCGGCGCCGGCCTGGAGGGCGGGGGCACAGCTCAGGCAGGCCCCTCCCCTCCCCTCCCTTTTCCTGGAGATCCGACAGCGCGTACCCGGCCTGGCTCCTTCAGCGCTTGCTCTGGCTTTGCCGCAGCTCCCTCCCTTCCCTCAGAACCCTTTCTCCTAAGTCAGGCCTGGAACGGAGAGGGAAGACTTACAGAGTCCAAGGCTCCCAGATGAGGCCATCTGAGCTCTGTGTGAAAGCAAAATAGCTTTGCAACATAGGTCTGGCTCCAGCATCATCCAGACACCTGGAAAGTCCTTCCTGCTGTCTGACCCCGATTTCTCCTGCTGCAGTGACTGATCAGCTCACCTTGGCCTCCAACCTCAGGGATGGTGGATTAGAGAAGTCCGGAAAAGGACAAGGCCCTGAATGAGGGTTAGAAACCACCCCCCCCCTTCTTTTCCCAAGCTCCAGCCAAGAGATGGAGCCTGGGTCTGGGACCCCATCAGGCTTTATCTAAACCCCTCCGGATCATCTAGCACAGACCTGAGCTCCAAAAAGGCTTAGAAGGACCAGACCCCAGGCAGGCCTTGGGGTGAAGCTTGGATCAGTTTTCCCTTTGAGGTCTATTTGGGAGCAACACCAAACCGCTCTATTAACCCTTAGAAGGACACACCAAAGACCGGAGAAGACCCTTCTCAGCGTCACAATCCCCACCCGTCCCGGAAGTGGGAGTTCCCGATGTGTCCCCGCCTCCCTACACTCCACAACAGTCCTCAGTGTCCGACTCCGAGCAGTGGGCCCACGCCTCCCGCGCCTGCGCAGCCTGGAGACCAGCATCTTCTAAGGCTGCAAGGAGCTAAAAATCGCTCCCGCCCACCCACAAGCTGCGCTGGACTTGAGGATGGGGGAGGTGTCGTGGAGGGGAGGGCAGTAAAGAGCGAGGCTGTCTCGGTGCCTGTCCAATTAGGTCAGTAGGAAGCAGCCTGGTGGCTGGGCAGGTGCATGGACGTCTCGGAGGGTCCCCGCACCTCCAAAAGGCACCGGAGGTGGCGAGGGGCGAGGCTGCCGCACAAACATGTTTACGGCTGCGGTGGTGCTGGCGGCCCCGAGGGGCGGGAGCCCTGGGGCAGTAACTTTGCTCTGGACCCCCTCACCCCAGCCCGGCGGAGTTCCAGGGTGATGACTTCGGCCCCGGCCCCTTCCCCTCCGGCGGGCCGGGCGCCCCGCAGGCTCTCCTCAGAGTGGAGCTGCACCCCCTCCTTCAGAGCCCTGGATCCCCGGGCGGCGCCTGAGGGGCGGGGCTCCCAGCGCGGCAGGACGCTCGGCCACCGCGTTCCGTGCGGGTAGCAA